TCCTCCTCCTCTGTCTGAGGCTGATGTGGTGTGAAAATCCTCCACCTCAGACGTTCAGAGATGTAACTATCTGCGATACTGTGGTCACTCTCCATGTAGCATCAGTTATGCTAATGCTAGATGCCTGTCACGTTCTCTCGTCCTGGCCACACCTCCGCTCTCTAACCACCCCCCCTTCCCCAACCACACCCCCTCCCCTACCCACTTTGATGCATTTTTCAAATTTCGCCTTGTGGTGGAGTTATCTTTCCACAGGGGGGATAAGATACACTTAAGTATCTTGTCTTTGTAGTGTCTTCAACTGAATAAAGGTTGAAAAGGATTTGCAGATCATTCTGCTTTTATTTATGTTTTACACAACGTCCCAACTTCATTAGAATCATGGTTGTATAAAATTGTCTGAATTCTAGTTATTTTTGTGTTTACTAAAATAGCTTTCCTGTGGTGACTACTTTGACTGGGACTGATTAAAAACGAGTTCTGTATTTACATGCAGTGATTGACTTGGACTGACACCAGTTTCTGCGGTGACCTATGGATTCATAAAAAAAAAACATCGGTTGCATCAGAATATTTCCTAATCTGAAGGATCTTCCCAGGAGAAAAACAAAACWGTAAAAATGATGGTTATGACAGTTTATCTGAAGACAATCCAAAATGTCAGTCTGTAAAGTGACAGGAATAATAAAAGTGTTGCTCAGCCCTGCAGTGTGAACTGAGAAGACAGGCTTGTCACAAACGGTTCTAAGGTTCTCCGTGCTAATTCACCTAGAGCGATGATGAATAATCTGTAAAGAAACTGTAACTGTAACCCTCGGACACAGAACGTTATATCTCTCTTTCCCCGCATTCACCTGCTCTTAGTTTTCAGCCTGCAAGGTCACAAGAAGAGCTGAGCTTCAGAGCAAAAAAATAAATAAATAAACTGTACGCTGCGCTTCAATTACCTGGGAAGCTTTGGGATGCCGGTATTCCCCCCACTGTTCCCTTGGACAGCTGGATTCATTTCACCGGCTATTAGTGGCTCYTTCTATTGTTGATGCGTGGTTCTTTTCAAATTGGTTGTCTGGTATCGTTTGCTAATCAGAAAGCTGTTCAGCGGAGAGGTTGGAAAACAGATTAWAAACGCCGAGGGAGGGGAGGGAAAAAAGTAAAAATGCTTTTTTTAAAAGAGAGTAGTCGGGGATGTTCTGTCAGCAGAAATCTGAAACTGAACAAGCTCTGACGTGAAGCAGATTCATGTGGTTRATAAAGGGTGACTGCAGGATGTCARAGGTTATGGAGGATAAAGGCGCACAGAATGTGTGGAGTCCCACAGGGCATCCTTCTGGTGTCAGGAGCACAAGGTAATTAAATCCAACCGGCTTGATTTTTATTTTTTTTTTGTTTTCCAAGTGAGGGTGCGTTTAATTAATCTGTCGATTTCACTTGCTGGCCACAGTCAAAATGTAAAAATCTGAGTTGTTGTCTTTATTTTTGGCTTCTGCAGGGATCACCACAGCGAGCGAACAAAAACGATTCGGCAATCGTGTTTATGCTGGACGCTCGTCCTGACACAACCTGGGCTTTGTTAGAGAGCCGTCCTGCCGCAGCTCCCCTCAAATTAAAAAAAAAAAAAATCAAAGTCGTCTTTATTTTAGCACCCGCCTGTTTTACTCCCAAACAGTGTTTCTCATCTGTAATATTTTGTTAACACCTTGTCTTGAAGGGGAAAAAAAAAAGTCAAACAAGATGTCACTGCCGAAAGGAAATCAAAGGAAAAAACAATACGTCAAGGAGGGGAAAAAAAAACTGTAGTCCCTCTGCTCTCGCCGCTGAACGTCCCGCTGAGTGAGGTTTTTTTTATTTCGGAGCCTCGGGTACGGCTGATGGGGGAGAAGAGCCTACAGGAGTTTGCGAGATGTGTTGCCTTGGTGACAAAAGGAAATGCTCGCTTGTTCTCCTCCTCCTATCTTCTCCCTCCCCCACTGCCCTCCCCTCCCCTCCTTGAAGTCAGGCGTTGAATCCGTTGGCGTCCCCGCGGGCGAGGAGAGGGGTCAGGGTTGGCTCCATCTGTCTATGTGATGGGCACTGGTGCCAAGCGCCACGGGGGGCTGGAGGGGGAGGGCAGCAGGAAGGGAACGGCCGTTTCAGAGCTGTCATGTGGGACTTCCGAACGCAGCTGAAGCTGAGGAGGAAGCTGAGAAGGAAGTGAAGGTGTGAGGCRAGTTAGAGAGGAAGGGGTGGAGCAGAAGGGATTTCTCTGCTGCTGCCGGCCAAAAGCGTTATGCTGAGTAAGTCTTTATGCAGACAAGCTGGACTTTTTTTCCCCCCCCTTTCTTGGTCACAATGACCGGCCGTGGCACCGGGGAGCTTCGCTTTCTCCGGAAAAGTGCAGAGACAAAGGTCCAGTCACTGTCCCTGCTTCACTCTCTGACAGGGATCGCAGGGAAAAACCTGAGAGACACAGAAAGAAAGAAATACTTTTACATCTGCTGCYCATTCTGCACAATAACTTKTTCCTTGTCGTCTAMTAAACCGTTTTTATTGAMTGGTTTGACGCAGCCGTCAACTCAAAATCCACATTTTCAAAACAGTTAACTCAGAGGGCTGAACATTGACACGGTGGTCAAAATGACACATTTTGTTTGCAAAAGGTCAAAACATTAAAAATATGGAACAAAAGCAAGTTTTGCCTTCAAACAGCTCAACTTTGACACAAGTGTATGAGCACCTCCAAACAACCAGTACACAGTAGACAACAAAATTCAAAATAAGCACTCATGTGAATCAGTGCACCACTGCTCGTCATTGGCTACGTTCACACTGCAGGTCTTAATGCTCAGTTCCGATTTTTTGAAAAAACCTGATCTTTCTGTGTGAACGTTCACATTACATTTTAAATGTGACCTGCATCAGACTCCTGTGTGAACGCTGCACAGCACTGATGTGACACGCATGCGCAGTAAAAGACGTGATGTCTCATCAGCCAGCTTGTTTGTTTACAGAGCTAGCATGGATGCTACATATTACGCATCGAATCGGAAGTTATTGTTTAATCAGAGC